TCTCTTCTCCATGTGTTTTTTGGCCTTCCTTTATTCCTATGCCCCTGTGGGTTCCAATGCAAAGACATTCTAGTTATGCTGTTCTCCTGTTTTCTCAGTGTGTGCCCTATCCAACGCCAGCGTCTTTTCCTCACCTCCTGATCCACTGAAGCCTGTTTAGTTCTCTCCCAAAGTTCTACATTAGTTATTCTATCATACCATTTTATTCCCTCTATTCTGCGCAGGCACCAGTTAATGAATGTCTGTAATTTATTAGTAATTGCCTTCGTTGTTCTCCATGTTTCCGCCCCATACAATAGTACTGATTTGACATTAGAATTAAAAATTTTTAGTTTAGTATTTCTTTTAATTTCTTTTGACCTCCATAAATTCCCTAATGCTATGAAAGCCCCTCTTGCCTTTTGTATTCTTATTTTAATATCTCTATCAGTTCCTCCATCTTTATCTACATTACTGCCCAAATAGGTGTACGACTCCACATCTTGGAGTGGGGTGCCATTAAGAGAAACCACATTACTATTTGCCTGATTTATTCTCATTATCTTTGTCTTTCCTTTATGGATTTTCAGACCAAGCTGCTGTGATATTGCATTAAGTATATTTAATTTATCTTGTATCTGATTCCGTGAATGGGACAGAAGGGCAATATCATCAGCGAAGTCCAGATCATCAAGCTGTTTTGTAGGGGTCCACTGAATTCCATTCTTGGTGTTAGCAGTTACTGTTTTCATAGTCCAGTCTATAGCCAGTAAAAATAGAAGAGGCGACAAAAGACATCCCTGTCGCACACCTGTTTTTATTTCAAATGCATCTCTTAGCTTTCCCTCATGAAGAACTCGACATTTCATGTCTTTATATGTTGCCTTTACTAAGTTGATAATTTTCTGTGGGATTCCATAGTGCTCCATCAATTTCCAGAGAGATTCCCTATCAATGCTGTCAAATGCTTTTTTATAGTCTATAAATCCAATGTAAAGTGGTGAGTTCAGTTCAATGCTTTGCTCTATTATAATACGTAATGTGGCTATCTGATCAGTACAGGATCTGTTTGACCGAAAACCTGCCTGCTCAGCTCTTAGCATTTTATCAATAGCATCTTTTAATCTTTCCAAAATAATTCTACTTAATATTTTTCAGGCACTTTCAGCAACAGGCAGATATAATTTAACCCATTCTATATAGGGAAAAATGAACTATGAGAGAATAAAAGTGATTGATTATTGTTAACTTTTTCAGCATAAGGCAGATATAATTTAACCCATTCTATAAAAAGTTTTTTTTAATCCTTAAACAATAAATGTTTCAGTCAGAATGGTTTAAATTGACAGAAATCTGAGAGAGATAATGTTAATGTTAAAGTAACAACTGGAGCAGTGTGGGTAAATGTAACAACTGGATAGGGAATCAAGAAAATGTGTAATGATGTGTTGTTTGGTGGTTGGGACTGAATGGTTTCATGCTTACCTGCTCTGTCCTGACACTGTCACACAAAAACTGAGCAGGGTGTATCTGCAGCTGTGTGTACCATATACACAATCTCTGTCCACAGTGTATTCCAACCCCTGCTGCTTGGTACTTTCACCATCTGCCAGAATGGTTTCTCAGGCTGGGTTGTGTGGCAACTTATGTGATTGAGATACCATTCCCTTTCCTCTTCTTCTCACCGGTCAGATCACTGCGGGTTTTTGCCTTCTGGAGCCAGGTGAGTGATCACACACATATACCGTTTTAAGCTTGCCTCATTTTATGTAAGACATTGTTTAAATTATTTACTAAAGTTTGTTTTGCTTCTCCACTGCATGTTTTTTTCTTCTTTTTAAACCAAGAGGTATTGTGTGTATTGCTTTCATATAAAGAATTGTTTCATACTTTTCTGTTTCAAATGTTTACAGTAAAATGGTTGTGTAGGTTTTAGTTGAACCAGTTCTAACCATTTTAGCTGAAATAAATGAGACGTTCACTAAGCTCTGGTCATGTGCAATAGCTGAATAGCAGCTTTACTCACAGCTGTCCGGTGACGTTAAAAATGTTCTATGATTGGTTTGTGAAAACTATTCTTCCTTGTGATACTACTAGTATTGCTGGCAGATGCAGTTACAATTCGGATGATGTATTGATGTATCACAGTGCATCTTTCATCAGGTTCAGTTATAATATAACCGAGCCTAGTCAGTGCCAGGCACTTTAAAGCAACAAAATCGAAAAATCGACTTTGTTTTCCTAAATTTTATCCTACATGGCACAGTCTGACTGCAGATTGGTTGGTCGCTCATGGAGCATTGAACACAGTACGAACCCTGCTGCTCCAGCAGTGACCATCTGAACGCTGAAATATCTACACACATGAAACGAAGAATGGGTTTACCATATTTTTCTGTGTATAAAACACTACGATTTATGTAAGAAAACCCATATTTTTAAAGTGTGAAATGTATAAATAAAAATTTTAAACACATTCCATTTATAAGATGACCACCAATTTTCAATTGAAAAGATTTGGGAAAACATCAGTTTTATACAATGAAAAATATGGTAAATATTGAAATATTTATTTACCACCAGTTGGCCCTTTATGGTGGTGTTGTCAACATCATGCTGGCACCTTAATTCCCTGGCAGGTGCAGTACTACAGAGTTATATCAACATTTAATGAAGTATCAACATTTAATGAAGTGCCAAAAAGGAATTCTTTTAATCCATCCAGTCGCTTCACTGGTTTTTTTGCAGAAACTCAGAACAATGTCTTCACTTTATAAAATTAAATAATGCAGGAAAACATCGTTTTAGAATGTCTGGTCTCATTATATATTGATTTAACTGAGTGGTACTGCACTTAATAAGATATCGCAAAAATATTTGACACAGAAAATTGTACAGCATATTGTTTATTTTCATATTATTTAAATTTACAACAGGAAAACGTTTTTAGTGATACTATGTTTTTGGGGTCTCTTTGTCAGTGATTGTCCTCACATTTTAAAAAACATTTTTAAATATAAAACAAAGATGCATATGTATTCATCAGCAATACTTCAGTAATAATTTCATGTTTGAATATGGTTAATTCCATTGTAAATATGAGCTAACATTGTCTGAATTTTCTTAATACACATCTACTGTGTTTCTGACTTTTGTTTACATCTACTACATATTTAATTTAATAAGTAACACTGAAACTTGTCACTTGCTATACCAGACTGTTTTAAATAATTCAAAATAATTATTTATATACAAAGTTTTAGTCTACTTAACCCATAAGTGTGTATGACAGGTATATTCTTGTGGCCACTTACTTTCTCAGTTGGTACGATAGTTATATCCGTCTCCTCAGCTTTCTGTGGGTGGTAGCTAGTGGGTATGGTGAGTTAACATACTTGCACTGTTATGGTCGGTAAAAATTGTCTTCACTTCAGTGGCTGCTAAATGTTTTATTCCTTGTTTTTGCATGCTGCAAGTACTTTAACTCTTTCTCTCCAGTAGAACTAATAAAAATGGGTCATAACCCATTGGGAATAGTCAAAAGAATCCTTTAAAAACATAAATTATTTTACACATATCACTAATAAATCATGTGCTTAACACCTTTCACACTGGAAGTGTATTTATAAAACTATTTCTGGTTAAAGGAGCATTCTAAAATTATCTGTAGCAGCAAAAGAAGCTGTCTTTCAAAATTTTGCAGTTGGGCAATAGACAAAATAAAAACTTTTATAAGAATTTTCATTTTTCAGAGACTTCAGCATGAGAGGAAACACAAATAGTATTTTACACAGAGGGAATCAGTTGATACTCCAGTCTTCAGAAATAATATATTTGAGAAAAGTATTGAAATTTCAGAAAAGAAATTGATAAAAGTTGTGAATTTCAGAAAGCTAATGAATGAAAAAAAATTGTCCCCGTGTTAGTTCTGGGGCCCCATTTTGGGGAAAACAAGAATAGACTCACTGCCTTCCCAGCAAGCATGTCGTAGGAGTCAACCAACTGGGGACTTCCTTTGAAGTCAGAGTGCATCTGCCCGAAAGGCAAGGAACAGCCAACTGCACACAAATAAGTCATTAAAAGGGATGTACATGCAAAAACTCAGGTCCTGGCAGAAGAAGAAGCAGCAGCAGCAGCAGCGGAGGAGGAGGAGGGGGAGGAGGAGGAAGAAGAAGCAAAATTGTACATACTAGAGACTTCCCTAAATCTATGGACACTGTCTTGTGACTTTTTCAGTCTTGAAAAAATAATAATTTACCTGCCACAGATGCAACTGGCTAAATTACCCACTGAAGGGGTTAACAATGCAGTATTTCTTAAATACATCATGTTAGAGTATTACATTACTTATATATATATATATATATATATATATATATATATATATATATATATATATATATATATATATATATATATATATATATATATATATATATATATATATATGAAGTATCTGACTAACCTGAGTAGTTACGGATGGAAAAAAAAGTAAAATAGGAGAAGGTTAAGATAAATAAATGTTCTGGCACATTGCATTGAGTTTTATTATGCACAGATACACGTAATCATCATATGCTAACATTCAGTGTGGTAGATATAATTGCCACAGTAGCTCCCCATTGATCTTTATTCTGAGTTTTTGGCATAGCATTCCAGTCTGTTCAGCTTATTTCTATGATTTTTCACTAGCACCTTTGCAGTGTCTCTACCTACCTTTCTGTCTTTTATTAGTACCAGTCCAGAATATTGTGTACTGCTTCCCTTTCTTTGTTGTCTCTACATTTGTACCCTTTAACCACATTTTTGAAAATTATTGTTTACTGATAGCTGATAGTGATTTCAGTATCCAGCACTTCAAAATTAGGCAGCTAAACATTCATGGCTGTGTGAATCAGTACAAAGAAATCCAGTGACAAATGTAATTGGTGTAACTTTGGGCAGCCCCAGTGTAAGACTTAAACATTGAGATGAAAGTTCCAGGTAATACATTTATGATCTAGTGTATGTGAAGCATACTTCTATTTTACCTTCAGAAGGCTATATGGGATATTTTTTAAACTGTTGAGACCCGTTGGGATTGACAACTTCCAGTACAACCCTGAGTACCCAACTATCTGAATGTTGACTAAATTCACAATTTCACTCATAAATTCATGTAGCTCAGACAATTCTGGACCTTTTAACCGGATAGTTAAAACTGTGTCATCATTTTCTTCTAAACGGTGGATTAGCATCATCTGCATACCACGACTAGCAAATACATGGTCTTTCCAGTCCATTCTTTCATCCACAATGTCTTGTATCTGGATTGACAAGCTTGGGAAGATTTCAGGAGGGCAGAAGAATGGAAAGCTGTATTTAACTGCTAGCTCTGTGTCTTCATCTGCGTTGTTCTCGGGCCATAACTCTTTCAAGAATGAAATGTCAGTGTTCTTGTTGAACCAGGGAAGGACTATCATTGGGCGGTTGTACAGAGGTGCAGCTGGTCCATCAGGTACGAGATAACAGATGTCAAGAAATGAGAACAGTTCCAACAGCATAGCAATGTCATCTTTTGGGACACTGATGGGAAACAGAAGGCATTTGAAAAGTGGCTGTGAGATTTCTCCAGTGGAGTTGAACATGTCAGAGCACTCTTGAAACTGCTCTCTGGTCATTCCACTTGTGCAGGGAAACACTTTATTGTCGTAGCTTAGGAAATCAGCAAAGTCATGTCTGTATAGTGATGCTATAAAGTCTACTAGCATTTTTGGTTTATGGAACACTATTTCCTGCAATACAGGATCATCACTTATCCACATTATGTCAGCAGTGTTGTGCAAATGTTGAATACAATTCCTCAGCTCCTCATCTTGTATCTGAAGCATTTCTGCTGTTTGCTGAATCTCACGCCATTTCAGATAGTATCCTTTTCTCTGTTTGAGCAACAAGCGGAGTCGTTTCCAGTGGCTGGGGATTTGTTGCCAAGCATGTGGAAACAGTTCTTTGTCAATGGCTAGCTTCTCCAGGTCATCAGTGAGCTGAAATATCCCCTCCAGACTTTCAGAAGCACTAACTTGGCTTACTTCTGGCAGAATCTGTAGTGGTTTCTGCAGAATATCTTTTAGCTGCTTCTCTCTTACCTGCATCATTCTTAATGCCACTTCAGCTTCATTCTTGTCAACATGTCTCAATGCTTTTGTTTTTGCTATGTCACTTTCTAATGCTTTCAATTCATTTGCTACTTTAACCTCTTTAGAGTATAAGTACTTCATCACCATGCCATGAACTTTCTCCTGGCTTAAAACTTCAGGTGCAGAGTTACTGTTTTTGTTTCTGGCAGTGTCTTGTGGGTCTGTGTCTGACACACTCTCTTTGTCTGTACCAGTTTCTGTGGATCCTTCAGAACAACTGAGATCATGCTGAATATCCATTGCTTGGTTATGCTCATTTTTGCTTACCTGTGGTTGCAGTAGGTCTATTTGTGTTCCAACTAACTTCACCACTGCCCCAGGACAACTGGCACTCAGCATGTCTAGCCATCTACTGATGCAGTTATGGAAATTGTCCTCACATAAAGTTGCTGTATTGTACACCAGCATAACTAATGCTTTCCTGTCCATAAACCACCTGTAAAATGGTCTGTACGCATGATCTCCACCAAAGTCATTGACAACGAATTCCACCTTGTTGACAGATTTACAGAGAGTTTGTTTCAAAAGTCTGGTCTTGTCTTCAGGCCCATTAGTCAGTTGAGATTTTCTGGTTGTAATAGCTCTGGCTAGACTTGTCTTTCCACACTGAGTGTCCCCCAGTAACTGAATTTTCTGACGTTGCAAATTCTCAGTATTGAAAGTTACCAGTTTCTGTAGGTATTCAAAAAGATGATCTGGCTTATCAGAGCGCCAGATTTCTGGAGGTGGCTGTACTATTGGGTTCTTGTGCAACCACAGGCCACACTTTTCCAGTTTGTGGTAACTGTGTGCCACTGTCAGGTTTGATAAGTGGTAGAGACTTGTGGGCAAAGTGTGGATTTCATTTCCTGTCAGATCTAGTGTATGTAGTTGGACCAGTTCACAGATTTCATTGGGCAGGCTCTGAATTTTGTTTCCCGCAAGGAACAATGCCTGTAGAGCTGTGAGACCTGTTGTGGGCAATTTGGGGAGGGGGGTGTTTGGAGAGAAGGAAGCAGGTATATAAATAGTCAGTAACATGAGTTCAGTTTGTGTGTGTGTGTGTGTGTGTGCGCGCACAAATGTGTGCATGTATGTGGGAGAGAGGCACACATACCAATGTGTGGTGTCTGTGAAGGTTGAATAGTGTGTATGTATGTGTGCACGTTTTAGGTTACAAGTTAAGTTCTTAGTGTCATTTGGATATATTGAGGACATGTTGTTGAGCCAGTATTTTCAGCTTGCAGAGTGATGTTGCTATCATCATACTGGCTGCCTTTACTCACTTTTTTAAAGAAATATCTAGTACACATTGTGTGAGCTAAGTACCAGAACCACAGAAAATGTATCAGTATTTGAGATTACAAAGCATCAGTTACTGAAGATTTGAAAACATAGTTTACAAGAAATGAAAACAAAACTGTTCCTATTTAATCTTATATATTCATTCAGTCAATCAATCTGTCAGTTATCTCTCCATCTACCAGTCAGTTATCTCTCCACAGTGAAGGTTGGCTACTGTAGATCTCCAACACACACTGTCTCTTGTTTTTATTTGTACATTCTCTCAGATGGCTGTCTGTTTGTCTCTTGATGTTTTCCTCCCACTTGTATCATTGTCTAACACTTGCTTTCTTGCCCTCGACCTTACCCTAGTCAGTCTTATACATTACAATCCCACAATTGCCCAATTAAAATGTTGGAATCTCTCTAAATTGTCACTATATTTTTTGATACACAATCTTTGTATAGGAAGATAATGTTGAGCATAAAGGTGGGTAGAGACGAAGGGAGAGGGTGCTTAAAGGGGGACAGGTTAGTTAAACTGTTAATATGACTAGTGCTAGTTATACACAGTAAGAGACTGAGTGTTATGTCAGAACTTTGAGTTACAACATCTGCTACAGACAGACTCCTTTCAGTGAATACAAAATAAAGTAGCTAAGAATATAATGCTCCCACCTACGGTGGAGCAGTGAACTGGAACTCTAGCCCTCTTAGATATATGTTGAGGAGCTGAGAGGACCATAACCTGACAAACCCTTTAGTTGTAGGGAACCAGAAAGAATCAGCTGAATATGTCCAGGTAAAATGTCACTATTATAAAACCGATGTGCTGCAGATTTAACAAGATCGTGACCATTACCTAAGAAAGACCCGTGCACACTCCCAGCTGGGCTTACATTCTCATAATCTCAGTTGCTTCTCTGTTTGTGTGGAACTCCTGCCCTGGTATTGCACATCTCACAGACTCCTGCAGTTTGCTAGGAGAAGGGGAGCTCTGCAACACTGTTACCATGAAGATAATATGGTATTGGGTTTGACAGTTTTTAACAGTGAAAGCCCTGTTTATTGCTTCCATGACTGTACTGCTTTTACCAACACATTGGTTTACAAATTTAGAACAGTATTTCGGTGTGGGTTCTGCCCCACCCCTCCCCTCTTCCAAATTTGGGCAACCTAGAAAAAAAAAATACAGTGCTCCTTAAGAAGCATGCCATAAAAGACAACTGATTATGGATCTGTTGAAATCGGATGTGTTGGGGGGAAAGGCACATATATCACAGACTAGCTGTAAACCCCCACATAATCTGCCATCTGCCCTTTCTATTGACAAACACAGAAGAAAAAGAGCTCAGTCTTCCAGATATTTTCCAGCCAGACAACCCACAACATATATTTTGCTTCTCATTCACTGTTTATAATCTGTAGTTTACCTTTCATTTCTGATGGAAGCCTGTGAATTCTGTTTTGAGATAAGTTCAGTTCTTCAAGCTGTGTAAGGCTGCCTATAGTTGAAGGTATAATCTCCAGGTCATTGGCAGCCAGCCTGAGAATCTGAAGACCCTTCAGATGACCAATGTCCTCAGGGAATTCTGTTAAAAGGTTGTTGGACATATCCAGTATACGTAGGTGGTGGAGATTGTAGATGCTTTGTGGGATGTTCTGCAAGGCAATAATGAAGTGTTCAGGATGTATTCTGTTCCTGATTATACTTGATAACTCATTTTAGGGGAAGAGGTGGGAACTATGGCTTGAAAACTTGCCTTCTTAATAATAGATTCTTCTTCTTCTTCTTAGCATTTGCCAGCTGTAAACTTTGATGAAAAGTTCTGGTTGTCCGTCCACTTCTGGGCTTTGGTCTTGTTCCAGAACTTGAGTAATGCACGCATGTTTGTCTTGCAGATTTTCTCATATTTGTATGCAGACTGTTGGTTTCCTGGTTTCTGCCTCACAGGCAGGCAAATGCACTCTGACTTCAGAGGAAACCACTAATTAGTTGCCCACCCCCCTCCCCTCCACACCCCCCACCCCCACATTTTCACCAAGGGGCCTCAGAACTCACACAGGGAATGTTAAGTTCAAATTCTAATCAAGACAGATTTTACAGATTGACCCGTGTTTCCAGCCTAAAATAGGTACTAGCATGTGGTCTGATACTAACCACATCTTATGTACTGAAGGGTCTGTAAAAAAAAACTGAGAGCTAGCAGTAATTGTCCAGCATGCCTCAAGTTGTTGAAATAAGACCTGTACTTTTTTTTTGCTGACTTTTTTTGAATGTATTGTTGACCAACATCTGTTTGTTCATGGTTTACTTACTTCTTGAGGACATCATCCATTGTGTGCTGAATTGTCTACAAATGTAGGGCTAGGATCATATACTCAGTGCTTGACTTCTTCAAAGATTAATGTACATTAGGATCTGTTTTCTCTTGTGTCTCTTCTCCTGTGCACAGTGTCTCTTTTTGCACTGTTTATTTTAGTCTGTTATTGTGAAACTTTACATTTTCAATCTACTGCCACATTTGTTGCCTGGATTACATCAAGTTTGTACAGTACACTCTTGATGGCTGCAGGTAAATGGCAGAAGCCATTACATAAGAAATCAGAACCACTTCATCATCCTCTGTCTACATGTTCAGTGCACAGAGATATATGATTTTTCAATCTTTTCAGTTGGATTTTACATCTTTCAAGAGTATGTTTTGTTGTTGTTTGCTCTTCATTTGTCCTCATTCTTCTTTTTCTTCTTTGCATTAGGTTTTGCATGCTCATGTCAAACCATCTGGCGGGTTGCCTCTATGAACTTGCGTGTCAGCTGCAGGTCCTTCATAGTTCCCCATAGCTTTCTCTGCACAGTTTGCTTTTGAGGCAGGTGTCTTTTCTGAAGTTGTAGGTAGAGTGGGCAAGTCTGCAGCATGTGCTCATGTGTTTGTGGTCCTGAATGACATGCACACTGTGTGGACTGTACAGTCTTTATTTTTTGCATGTGATAGTTGAGCCTGCACAGTCCTGTTCTTATATGAAAAATTGTTGTATGCCGCTTTCTGTATAGTCTGCTGATGGGGTTTTGTATAAACATTTTGATTTCTGGTAATGACAGTGAATGGGTATGTTGTTTCTCCTTTGTTCTATTTTTTTTTTGCAAGTCTGTCCGCCTACTCATTTCCTGGTTTGCTGCAGGAGAACAATTTTATTGTTTTCTGAGAGGTTTAGCTGGCAGGTCAGTTCTGTCTCAATCTTGTCTCGTGGATCCCTTTGACTCACCTGGAGGACTGACATGCAGTCACACAGGAGAACAGTTTTTCTGTTTTTAATTTTCTTTCCTCAAGCACTTTGGTTGCATCAATAATTGCTTGCTGCTCTGCTCTGAAGTATGTTGAGAGTTTCACGGAGGCACATGACGTTTCCACTGTAGTCCCATCTTGCAGCATACCTGAACCAGCTGCTCCATTTTTTTGCTGCTCCCTCCATTGATCTATTGATGTATACGTGTGTCCATTCAGGTTTAAAGTAATAGTTGTAGACATGTTCAAGGGTCTTTGCATGCAGTAGTTCACATCGATTACCAGATTGCCAGGTTACCAGTTCACATCCTTCAGCCTTTCTGTCTCTGTCTCGGATTATTATTGTGACTGTATAGTTAGTCTATAGGTCTAGGTTGTTTACCTGGATCATTTCCCACATTGAAGGATCTTTAGGAAGGATGTCACTGTATTTTGTGTTGTACAGTTTTGATAGACGGTGAAAGCTTTGTCTGTTCAGTTGGTTTTTATAAAGTTGTTTGCTATACTGTGCAGGGGGGGGGGGGTTGTTGATGCATTAAAATTTTTCTCGTGCCATATTCCAGTTTTGTTCGTACGTATCCTGTGTATACTTGTCGTACAGTGTTGGCATCTGCATCCCAGTTTGTCCCATTAAGTTTCTTCATAAGTCTGAGCCACAGGGTAGAATTCCTTTGGGTGTCTTCAGTTTAAAAAAAAAAGTAGCTAGCAGTTTGTATTTTTTTTAAAAGCATCTTAATTTTTGTGTGCGTATGAGAGATTTGTCATCAGTACTTCTGTATTTTCTGAAGCCTGATTGGTTGACACCCAATAACTTGTAGGTATTTTAAAATTAATTAACCTGTTGTTTAAAGGGATCTTGTTTGCATTTGTACTGTTGCTTCTGTGCTTTTTTCGTGCAGCTGTTGCGGTTCTTGGGTTCAGAAGGGTTCATAGTTTTGCCTTCGACCATTGGGTGATCAATTTTTGTGCTGTTTGAATTATGATATTTGTAAGAGCTGTGGTGTTTTTTCTAAGGTCATTGGTTAGAAAAGGTTCCGATAGATTCTTTTCAGTTAAATTTTTGTAGAGGTACCAGTCTGCTTTCTTGTAGTTCCAGCTGTTTCTTCCTGTTTTCTGGTGGCTTGACTTCTCCCATGATGACGATGACTGGTCAGTGATCACTTCCTCCCAACTGTTTCATCACTTCTCTGTCTGCCCACCGTTGGACATTTTCTGTTGCTATAGCTAGGTCTGGTGTACTTTTTGTTCGCCATCGTCTAGAGTAGAAGGCTGGTTCAGAGTCATGTTCGTTGATTAGTATCAGCAGGTTTTCCGTAATCCATTCCTCTACCTCCTCTCCTTTTGTGTCCATAAAAGCATAGCCCTAACTAGGAGAATGACTTCAAGTCACAGAGAATTGGGTGGCTCTTGTAGCTACTGGATGTCCTCTAGTTCTTGTTTCTTTTTGTTGTGGCAGTAAAAGTTAGTAACGTACAGTGGCTCTGGAAAGATAAGTAGTTTTACTGTCAGATGTTTAAACTCACGATGCTTCTGGATATTTCTGTGGTGGTAATATAACTTTTTTTTAAAACTAATGTAATGGTGCCCCCTTTGTAGCCATCTTTGTCTAGCCTGTATATTTCATAGCCTCTGATAGAGAAGCGACAACCTGTATTTAAATGGGTTTCCTGAATGCAGACAAATTAATATTTTGTTCGTATATAAATTTTTGCAGTTTAAGCCTTTTCTACCCCTTCTGCATTCTGCTATGTAATCTTTAGTGTATGGTATTATTTTGGCCAGATGCATTACTTAGCTTAATCCTGATCCGCTGATGCCCATAGCTACCGTCAGTACTTGTGGGTGGATCCTTTCGAGGCTCAAAATCCGCCTGGCAGTAGTCCTTAGGAACAGCCTCATAACAGCGTGGGTATCTAAGCATACTCATTAATTGTAGATTTCACAGGAAAACACTACTCTGAACCATTTTCTTAGTTCATGCTGTGTCTTGTTCATCATGTCCATCTGCAGCCTTCTGTCTTGTAGGGCTAGTCATTTCTGATACAAGGCATTCCTTCATGTCATGATGCTAAACTGTCTAACATTTCTCACACGGTCTTCCCCTGCCTCTCACACTCTCTGAGTTTTCCCAAAATAAGTGTTTCCATGACAGTTAATTTATTTGAATTACATATGTTTTCATAATTCCTACTATATTTAAAATAACAATGCATTTCTCAAAGACAGAAAGTAGCATACATCTACCATATACCTGCATGAAGTTCTTGGATAGATAGAGTTCTTTCAGCACTGTGTTGTTGATATCTGGAAGCGTGTTTAGTTTGGTATTCTCCAGGTCCAAAACTTGCAGAGCTGGCAGCTCAAACACTACACTGGGAATATGCTCAGACTTGATCTGGCCTTTTTTTAGCAAGCTCTCCATGTAGGGATCCACCACTCCACAGAAGCTTCTGGAGAGAAAGAAAGTAGTCCTAAGTGATCATACATGAACAGTCAATCTCATAAACTGAAAAAAAAAAAAAAAAAGACAAAAGACAGTTTATCAAAATAGCAACATCTTGGAACTTATTTGAAAATATAATTTATGACTTCTACTAGCGAAGAATTTCTCAGGCTGACGTGTTTGCTTCATAAAGACGAGTTTAATCAGCTGTCTTCACTCAGTCTGCAATTAACCGTAGAAGACTCCTCAAATTCTGTAATCCTTGATAACATCCCTCCGGGATATATGACTATATTCCACTCAAACATTATGTAATATTGAGCTGTTTCTCAAGATACAATTTTTCTCTGCCTGAGCAGATGTTATTAACTACCTACAAAATGCAGAACAGTTTCTTGACCTCCTGTCAGTAAATCTGGCTTACTCCTTCAGATTTGTTTCCTTTACTGTCAAGCCAATTAAATTCTAACAACTAGTCATATAATACATTTCAGCTTTACTTGTTCACTGTTATCAGTGCTAAAACTATGTTAAGCTGTGATGATTCATTGTAAGGCATTGTCTTGTCTTAGTTGTAAGACAAATGAATAGTTAAAAGAAAGCAGTTACTCCCAGATTGTACAGACAGCTTGTCACATGGTTACAGAAAAAGTTTGTCTTGTTTTTTCCTTGATAGGTAAAATTACATTTCTTAGTAATTGTTTTTCTTTTTTCTTTACTGAAGTAGTTATCTTGTTCAAGCAGTGTGTTTTGAATTGTTCGTTGCGTACATTTTTTGACAGTGTCTGGTAGTTATCCTATGTTTGCTGTTGTGTAAGTTACCTGTAATTTATGGCCAGCGCTTTTAATTGCGACATTTCTGACAAGGTTTCTGGGAGAGTCTCTATGGCATTGCCCCAGAGGTGCAGTTGTTCCATTTCTTGACAGTAAGCAATTTCTGGGGGCAGGGATGTGATGTTTGTTTGCTGCAGATTGAGCCTGACAAGGTTCACAAGCTGACCAATCTCTGGCACTAGAATGTTAATCTGGAGAGAGAGAATTATACCGGGCCTGTATCTGTTATTCATTACATAGTGTTGCATTATGACTGTGAGAAACGGTTATGTTATATGGTATCACAGTTGATGACGCTGCAGATAGGGCATTTCAACGCCTGCTTCTGCAGCAGCTAACCTAAGTTACCTCTACTAATTAGAAGACATAATGTGCATGCATGGTCATTGTGGTTGAGGACAGAATGAAGATTTTATTTTTTTGTGTATATAACATTTTCTGTCATGTGCTAATGTTAGATTTCTCTGTCCCAGATAGTTGCTACCATGGCCTAGTTAGCTTGTCAGTAAATTGTCATTAGTTGCACATCAAACCATAGATTACATAAATGCTCAGATCTCCTCCTTAGAATATCTTTCTGCATGTCATAGCTGACATCACCATTGCTTTATGTTTCTTTGGACCTTGTATTGCACTTTGTCTTGTTTCATCCATTTGGATCTGTTGTTTATATGATTCAATCAATTGCCCTGCCTCTCTAAGGCATTCATATGTCAGCTTAGCCCATTGCTTTTGTGCTTTCCACAGTAGCTCTGCTAGCAAGCCTATCAGTATGTTTCACTTCTGCTTACACTTGCATGAAGTGGCACCAGAAAACTACTGCTTTTCCTCACCCTTGAGCCCAGCCCATCTAGATCTTCCTGAGCATACTCATTCAATGAATCACTGAGAAGGCTTGCCTGGATGTCTCCAACCAGGATATTGTAAGTTGTGCCATGGCCTCCATAGTTAGATTGCTTTACATTTCTCTCTTTGACCTCTCTTCATCCTGTATGCAGAACAACAGACCCAGCTGTGTAAATGACTACATTATACCAGAACAGTTCTAAACAATTGTCGGGTTTTATTATCTGCAATTTCTGGCCAGTCTGATATGCACTGAAAGAATGTATAGCATTCTCTTGGCACTTGCAACTACAGTTCACCAGGTTTTATAATCACAAGTGAGCAAACCTGTTGAATAATTATCTAGGTCAGACTGCTTCAAGATTTTTGGTTAAAATCTGCTGCATTTTTTCGCCTCAGTGAGTGAGTGAAGAACCTTTCTAGGACTGCACGCTGAGCAATTAACAGCTGGTGACATTGTATACCAAGGCTTTGTTATATATCATTTCCAGTCTCTCTGCCTAGTGGCAGTTATGGGTGAGGTGTCTTAGTCAGCACTTATTCTGATCTGTATATTATTTGTTTTAAAGTAAATCTGTCTGATCCTGAAAATGTTGAGAAGTGATTATTTTCATGTTGTTTTAACCCATAATCCTATCTGGAGAGTTGTCAGCGTACTCAGCGTGCAGAGCCTCCCTCGGGCCGCAGGATCATGCTCATAAAGAGCGCGTGCGCGTGCACACACACACACACCCACACATGGGAATGGTCCTGTGATTCCAGCCACATGAAAGCTCACCCCACCGCCATCACATCCATCATCATCATGCTGCCAGTAGTACTGTCCTACTTTTAGTCACCCTCTCTGACTTATCAGGGGCAGTGTTAGAGCTCTTTGCCTGTACCCTTAGCCATCTCTTACATACACTTAGTATTACAGTGTTGGACACAGCTAGAAAGAGAAATAGATTGGCTGATTAGATGTGTGCATAAATAGTTGGAGAGATTGATAATCTTTTTTTGCTGTTCAGATATACCTTATTCCTGCTTATGTCCAAAACTTTGAGGCTGGTCATCTTCAAGATAGCCGGTGGCATAAAGGACAGGTTGCATTCAGAGATGTTCAGCTCAGTCAGGTTAGTCAGCAGAGCCAGCTCTTTGGGCAGCCCAGAGAAGTCATTGCTGCTGGTGCACCTGATACCATTTTTGGAGATATCCAGCTTCTCCAGGCTCTTCATGCGTACAATATCGGGAGTGATAGAGTGGAGGTTGTTTGATGGCAGGAGCAGGTGTCCAACATCTTTGGCTGTGGATTTATATAACATTGCTGATATGAGGATTAGTGGGAAACTGGGGTGTACAGCAGGGTGCTTGTCGGGGGAACATTTTAGAAGCAATTGAACAGATAGGTTTGTGGCTAGATAAATGAGTAGGTTAAGACATCCAACCTTAAAGTCAGAGCATCTGAATCTTCTCTGTCTCATGCAGTTGTTACATTAATGCTCTTGTTCTTGTTAATTGAGCTCTCTCTGTCCATGCAGTTTTTATATTCACTTATTCATAGAGAAGGAGGAGAAATTGCTCTTGTTCCTGTTAATTGAGCTCTCTCTGTCCATGCAGTTTTTATATTCACTTATTCATAGAGAAGGAGGAGAAATTGCTCTTGTTCCTGTTAATTGAGCTCTCTCTGTCCATGCAGTTTTTATATTCACTTATTCATGGTTAACTTTATCTCAGACACTTCTGTTAACTTTCTTAATCCTAGTTAACTAATCTACAAAGACAGCAAGTGAAATGGTTTGCCCACTTAGAGAGAATGCCTTGTGACACCATACCATACAAAGCATACATGGAAAGAGAAGAAGGTCGTAGAGCAAGAGGTAGACCAAGAACAATATAGAAGGATAACATCAGAGAAGCTCTACAACAGCACAATGTGCCTATGGTTGAGGCAGCCAGAAGAGCCAGAAACAGAACCTCATATCTCCCTCGACACCCACAGCGGTAAAAGAGGAAGTGAAGAAGAAGAAGAAGTTAACTAATCTCTTTAAAGGACAAATGCTAAACAAGAGAAGGAAGAGAAGAAGAAGAAGAGAATATTAACTGTTACAGTTCCAGAAGATTTTCACCACAAGTGGCAAAAGAAGAACAATAACCACTTTGCAAAGAGCATGAATATATTATTTTCAAAGAAGCAGCATATATTGAGTGTATGTTAATGTTTAGCCACAGTTTAGTATGTAATCTGAGATCGAAACTTAGAGATATAACATATAGGTTTTTCCATGCACAAGGAGAACTGCTAATAATACATGGTATCTTCCTTAGAACTGAAAAGTGAATATTTTTACATAATAAATAGAAGCAGACTTTATTAGCTGCAAGGACTTAATTCTACACCTAAGAAAGCTACTTTGTTACCCTCCCCATCTCCCCAGCCCCTCCATGAACATTCGTACTTAATGCGACCTTGATATTTTATGTCCACTATTGTACTGGCCTCGTACCTTTCGTTATTGTTTTCTGCAAACAGTGTTACCTCGGTAAATGTCAACTTTGGTATATATCCTAACTTGGTGTACATTCTGAGGAAATTTGCTTGGTATTCGACCATTATTTGGAATGTGACCTTTGTTTGGAATACGACGTGCGCGCTAGAACTTGTGTGAGTCGCAGTGAGTCATGACATTGCTCGTTGCCCTTGTTTACCCCTGTCATTTATCAAGGAAGTAATTACAGAGGAGTACCACACCAACAAAGTCCAAACAAGCGGTAATAGCATTTCTTGGAATGACCAGACGGTGTCACCTTCCTGAAACATTCTGAGGAGAAGACAAAAGCAAAGTTCTTTAGACAGATTTAAGGGAAAGTCAGACATGGTGAGTCTCAGCCAGGTCCAAGTAGGGAAAACCGAAAAATAAGAGAGGGAGGGAAAAAAACAAACCATAAGGATTTCAGATTGCTGAAGGTTTACTTGCAGACAATAATGTCTCCTTCTCCTTCCTTCCTGTAACCATCCTAGTAGGCACTCGACTCTTCTCAGCAGGGTCAAGGCAGGTGACATAGTTCATGTAGTTCATCTAATTGCTTTTGTATTTAGGTATTTGAATATTAATATAATATATCTATAGCAATAGGATTTGTTTCTTGGAATAGATTAATCATTCTTCCTTTATTTCTTATTGGAAAATGTGTTTGATTTACATCCTGTTTGGTATATGCCCAGGATCTGGTACAGATTAAGGACACATACCAGGCTCCCACTATTTAAGTTCATGAGAAGAAATAACTGTTTATGAGACAATCCCCCCCACAGTACTCAGATTGTGAAGATTGTCAGTATTTTTTTCTCTTGTGAAGAATGTCAGTATTTTCTCTCTCCTTGGTCCTTGAGACTCTAGAACAGTCTTTCCTAGTTGGTGGTTCTCTCACCCAGGGGTCCACAGAACAAATTAATGGGGCCATGATATAGAACAGTCTTTCCTAGTTGGTGGTCCTCTCACCCAGGGGTCCACAGAACAAATTAATGGGGCCATGATATAGAACAGTCTTTCCTAGTTGGTGGTCCTCTCACCCAGGGGTCCACAGAACAAATTAATGGGGCCATGATCTCATTTAGAAGAACACCATCAACTTTTTTTATTTTTAGCGATTCTTTTATAGATTTACTCTTTAAAAACACAAGCTGAAAATGTGGGGAGTCCCTGGCAGGCCTTTAGAGATAAGAGGCGCCCGTAGGCCTTGTCTATTTGAGAACCACTGCTGTAGAACGTTAGGATAGACGGTGTGGGCAATGTTGTAGTGTCTCTCAGATGATAAATTATTTTTTTAGCATGTATGCTCAGATACACACACACACACACATGCATAGTCATGTGTATGCTTGCGTGCATGCGCACACACCCACACACACACCCACCCATGCACACCCACATATGTGTGTGAGTGTATGTATGTATATGTATGTGTGCGTGGGTGTGTATATATATATATATATATATATATATATATATATATATATATATATATAGCCAGCACTCACTTGTAATCAGATTGATGGGAATACTGGTCAGTCCTTGTCCAGACATGTCAATGATCTTCAGCCCTGAAGGGGTCAGCTGAGCTGTTTTTGTTGTTTCCTTTTCCATGTCACCTGAATATGGAGTTTTCAGTGTTGATTTATGGTTTTCAATATGGATGGATATTGACAGGCAATAATGTTGTCTGGACTACATATTTCTTCCTATTAACTAATTGTTTATAGTAACATTGTTATAATTTCTTAACTATATAAAATGAAAAGGTTTGAATGAAAATTAGGAAGATCAACTCCAGTTACTTCTCTTTTTGGGTCACTTCCTGCCGGCCATTTGAACATACAATTTGTGGTGGGAACATGGTCTAATTGTGTCTGTCTACCAGGCTCAGAATATATATAACAGATGGTGCTTATAGCTGTAGTCACTGGCATGAAAGATTCAACCTGCCCAGAACTGACTCCAAGGCTGAGCCAGAAGCTGACCCAAAAAGCATGAACTACCTATAGGTGGACTAACAGTGTATGTCCATAGCTTTTATAATTTAAATACCTATAAATATACAATTTATGTAACAGTAGGGAATCAGATGTGGACAAACCCCGGATCCTGTCCTTTAACTAGGAAGGCTGGGAGATGGATCAGATCTTTTAGGATGTTTCACTGTTTTAGATTCCTTCTGCATACTTGCGGCATCCGTGGCTAAGGCGTTGCGAGTCCGAATCGTAAGCCAGCATACCGCGATCGAAACCCGCTGCAGGCTGCGTGGATTTTTGTCGTGGTATGGGGACGTCGCAGGTCGACCCAGCCTAAAATGGGTACCAGGATAGGCTGTCCTGGGAAAGTAAAGACAGCCGGCGTAATGCTGACCACATTACCCACAGAGTGCTGATGGTCTGTAAAAATATGGGACGCTCTGCCCATATGTCCGATGTGCCGAAAGGCGTGAAAAGGGAACTTTACTTTACTGCATACTTGCTAATTGTGAGGCACTTGTCTTCATACATGAAATCTTAACTAGCTCTAGGGCAGTAGCAGTGAAATATCCTCACAAAGAATCCACAGACTAAAAAGTTTTTTAGTTTATATTTACTAAAAGTAAGTGAAAAACACTTTCACACCATCAGCACACTTAGTATACTATGCAAGACCCATATTTGTGGACACCAGCGGACACTGACTTTACTTCCCAGGACATTTGCGGTACCAGTTTCAAGTTGAGTCAACCTGGGAACCCTAAATAAGTCCACCTGGGTGCCTTTCAATAGAAATCTACCTGGTTGCATTGAAACCTAAGACCTTTTGGCCAGCAGTCAATCATCTGGCCATTACTGCCATGTTTGGCAATAACACCCTTTGGCCTTTTCCGTAGGCTGAGCAGAGGAAAGTGTGCAGCTGCACAACCTGGTATCGCTTTTGGTCAGTTCTTTTCTTCTGTTTGTTTTAGACACCTTTCACCAGTGTCAGCGTGATCCATTATAGGGCATCTCTAATTGTTTAGTTACACCCCATTCTTCTTCTTAGTTTAATAGGTTTAGTTACATTTAATGTCAAATATCCCACAAAATATACTAGAAAGCTCAACGGAGGAAATAAAAAAGATGCATACAAACACAACTGAACGTTTGGACCAAAATCTTCATCAACGGAGTACTAAATACCGTACTGTTTTGTGCGGTATTTAGTACTTTGTTGATAAAGATTGAGGTCGCAAATGTTCTGTTGTGTTTGTATGCGTCTTTTCTATTCCCTCGGTTGAGCTTTCTAGTCATATTTTGTGTGATATTTAGCATTTCTTGCAATCAGCTCAACGGCAGTCACTCCTATTTACATAATCAGTTTAGTTACGTTTAAGTTCCATTGCACCACATCCATCACTTTAGTTGCACTTAAATTTAATTATTCTAAAGTATAGTAATGCTCCCCTTTCTTCACATTCACTCTTTTTCTTACCATCTCTGCCTCCAGCACTGGCATCTCTTCTCTTGTTCTTGCCCCTCCCTGACTGGCTTCTCGAAGGAGTTTTACTCCCAGACAAGAGAGGCCTGTGAGGGGACATAGATTGTGTTTTCCCAGCATCCTGTTTGGTTGCCTTCCCATTAGAGTGATGGGACCCCACACGAGCATTGCTTCTGTTTGTGAGGGATGACTTTGTTGGAGACTGATTTTCCTTTCTGGGCGAGATATTCCTCCTAGTTGGTGACAGTCCTGACATATTTCCAGACTGTTGGAAGAGTTGTGATTGTAAACGTGGTCATCTGTTGCACAAATTACTGTAACATACTTTGCCAGGATTAAAAAAAAAAAATTACTGCTGTTATATTTTAAAATTTTTTAAATTAAAAAATGTTAATTATGATAAGTATAGAGAAAACATCAGATGTGCATGCCCTTTAAGAGTAAAGAAGAATGTTTACGGTTGACCAAACAGCACAACAAGATGGATATGATCAACCATATACAAGTCATCTTCACTTTGCCTGGCAAATTTTTGGTGTCAGTTTTATGAACTTGGGGCACTTACGTTTCTGAGTTATTATTTGATCTGCCCGCCATCTTTCTCTGTCTTCCGCTTGATGAATAAGTGTATGATAACTTAGTCCTGTTCATTTCTTAATGCTGTCATTCCAGATATTCTCTGCCCTCCTCTTCTTTGACTAACCCCCCCCCCCCCCCCCCCAATATTCCTTAAAGAACAGTCTTTGCAATCAAATCATCTTTCACCACGTGCCCAAACCAAGCTAGCTTGCGACGTTTCACCACTGCCAAGAGAAGCTCCTGTTGTCCCACAGATTTGTAAATTTAGTCTCTGACATATTTATTACATTTGTGCTCTGAATAACTAATTCGTAAAATGCGTATGTAGGTGGCTCATAAGTTGTATTTTATTGTGCTGTTTATATCCATCCAAATTTAACATGATGTTGCCCAGAATGTCATACTAGATTATTGTGCAGTGAATCATACATGTATTGATGTATTTTCATGGAAAATAATCATATCGCTTGTCATCTACTCAGGGTTTAGTCAAATCACTAGTCTACTCAGGCCTTTTTTCTTTTTCAGTTTCGTCTAGCCCATGTTATTTAACTATACTGAGTTCAAAAATTAGCACTTGGGGGCCTAGAACATAAGTAGAACGAAAGTAACATTTATCGATAGTTTAATTTACATTGAATATTTTATATTTAATGGGATTCAGACAGACCTGGAGCGAGTGCAAATCTTACTGCAAAGTGGATTTGATTCCAGGATAGCGAGGAAGGGGGATTTGGGGGCGGGGCGGTCAGGTGTGTTACCAGCCATTATGTCGTCCTATTTGGTCACTAGCTGGTATATATACTGAAATAATATGAATGCTGTTTGTGTCACTCAGGAACAAGGAACATCTGATTAGTCAGTTGTCGGGGATGCAATGTGCCTTACAACAGGAAACCCAGTATCTCAGAATTGCACCGTCGCAAATGGCCAATGAAAATAGGAAGCAGACGGGATCACACGTGATCCGAGCAGGTGGCATTCTTCGGTATAGCAAATCCCCACCGTGCCTATGCACCGCCTGCCCACCCCCGTTTTCTAACATATTTGATAATTGTCATGTTTTACAGGACTTGTATGTGAGGTCAGTTAAATATCCTAGGCTGGGATTTCGTTGCAATGTTTAATCCTGTCATCTCCTTGTGAGATGTAATTGTTCTCTAGTTTGAAGCCCCACCCTGGCTTTTTCCAGGGGCCGCAATATAGCCCGACCATAAATATAGTCTAATAGCTGAACGCGGTTTCTGGGGCCTCTCCACGGGTGATCCTCATCCACATGGTGGCACTCTGTGTCACCGGGTGTTTATCTCTTGTGTGATGTCCTGGTGGGATAAAAGTCTACCACTACTATTTCTTTGCGATTGCTTCTAAATTAGATATAGAGCTGTGAGTAGATTGAATACAGTAAGCCATCCCAATACAGGATGCAATTTTTTTCTTTTTTTTCAAAGCTCCACCCTAATATAACCTAACGGTTGAACGGAGTTTTGGGGATTTGGCCCCTAGTGATCCTCATCAGAATGATGGCACTTTGTGTCACCGGGTATTTGTCGCTCAGTGTGATGTCCTGGTGGGGTTAAACATCAGTCAATCAGTGTAGACTTAACAACCGCAAGTGTGGATTTACTGGCTGCAACATTAGTGATATCGAATGAATGTATACCTAGTATGATTGCAGGTGCATAAATAATGATTGTAGCAGTGGATACAACGATTGCAAATATACATATAACTACTGCAAAAGTAAGTATAACAGATCAATGTATAGCTGCAACTATAACTGGTACGGGTATAGTGTCTGCAACAGTAGCTATAACGTTTGCAAGTATAAATATAACGTGTCCAAGTATAGAATATAATGACTGCGAATGCTGATAAAACGACTGCACTTTTTAAAGCCTAGTGTTAACGACGTTGCTACTGTCTAAAACACGGCGGAACGATTTTCCTACAGGTGTGTACTGGGGCATGGTAATATCAAGTATTGATTTCTGGAGTACTACTGCGGCCTTCGTTCCTGTAACTGTAGGGATCTCTCTCCAGTTCATTCTCTGCCAGTCATGAATCCGCCTTTTTGCAGTTAGTTGTTGGGTTCTTTATATCGCAACCACGTATTGACTTTTAGTTCTTTCTGTCCCATGCAGTTATTACGGACCTCTTTTGGGGCTTTGGGTGCATTGTGCATCTACTGCCGGACTGATAATTTTATAGAGCTATAGGCGCTTGTTTGACGAGGTGGTCAAAATCATACTAGCCACCTTTACTTCCTAGGGCATTACCTGTTACCTATTTTAGGCTGGGTCGACCTGTGAGTCAAGGTCAGTATGGAAACAAATCCATCCGAATGCGGATTCGATGGACCCATCTAGCTTTATCTCTCCATCTCTCACTCAGCCTTCTCTTTCCTCTCCCTCTGACTCACTTTCCCCCTCTCTTTCACTATCTGTGTCTCCTCCCCTTTCTCTCCTTCTCCCTCTTTTTATTCCCCTTTCTCTCTCTATCCCCTCTCTTTTCCCTCTCTTTTCCCTCTCTCGGTTCCACATAATTA